TCCCACGAGAAGGCAATGCATTAAACTTACTACTCGCCTGCTGGAGATGGAGCAGTGCTGGTAGTTCGGTTCATGAGAGAAGGTACAGCTCATGGGGCTGGGGCTTACTGCTGTGCCCTGAGCACCTGGCACACGAATGCCTGATAAATAACTGTGGAAGGGAGACAGGCTGCAGGGCGCAGCAGTGGCACCATTACTTACAAAGCCTTGGCTTGAGAATCAGAGGACCCCTGGTCTGCTCTTGCCAGTTAGCAACAGTCACTAAATAGCCTTGAGCCCAGACGCCTCCACTCTCACAATGAACCCCCCAGATGACTATCAGAGGCACATAAGAAAGTGCACATAAAGACCACTTTGTAAACTATGAGACACTGCAGAAATGATCAGCAGAGGTCTCACTTATCACAGACATAATTATCACTTGATTTGAACAGCAAAACAAGGCCTGGAGTTAGTGAACTATAGCCACCAATTTACAGAAAAGGACAGCATAACCCCATAAGTCAGGACAAGTAAAAGAACAGGGAGCACAAAAGTTGGGACATGAACCTAAGTCAGATAGTACCAAAGACTGGGCTTTAGTCAGGAATGTTATTACAAAGGTAGATTCAAGTGGGGTCTGGGAGGGGAAGTAGCACTTTTATGGCTGGAGGGGAGGGGTATTCACCCATGACTCATCTATCCATCAATTCCTAGATATTAAGAATCTTTGTAAACCCTTTTTGGGGTGTGACCAAGGCAAGCAGTAAGCCCATGTTTATTCAAAACAAAAAAAAATACTGAGCATTTTTGCCATATTAAAATCTTTGCCTATAATTCTCTTCCCAGGGCAGTGCAAGGCACAGCTGAAAGCAGGCTAGATAGGAGATGGTCTTTTACTGTTTGCTCCTAATCTCACTGCTGTTAGAGTCATTAAACCTTTGCAAGGCAGGGATAGGAACCATTGCTTTGTGGATTTGGAAGGAATTCCTATTATGCTATAATTCCAGAACCTGAGCTACATCTGAAAAAGAGGTCAAAATGACTAGGTTTTTCCATAAGTTCTGCCACAGAAAGGTGTCTGCTTTCTCTATGATTTCTGAGGGTTTGCATCTCTACACCGCCCTGGTCTCCTCCATCGCCACTGCATTCCTTTGTTGTGGGCACTGTCCAAACTAGACTCAGGGCATTCAAATTGGTTAAAGCTTCTCCTGCTGTTTTAAACAAACTTGATATTCAGCAGAAGGCCCAGGGCAGCATGCAGCAAGTTGATTAGATTTCCAGCTCTGTAACCCCCCCCATCCCCTACCGCATGACCATCACTCATGCCCTCTACTCAGAAGCTCATTTTAGGAGAAGGAAGCCAGGCTCTTCTGACCAGTCAGGATGGAAAAGGGGAAAATGTGTTGCTGTTGGTGAGCTGCATAGCTTTTCCAAAGTGAACACACCAAAGTGAGTTATTCACTCTGCCCCTGAGGTCTACGCTCTAGTTATGGTGGGTGAGCCCACTAATAGCCTTCAGTAGAAGCGCACAAGTCACATGTGTCTCCAGCTGAAATGCAATGGCATGGGATCAGGAGGTAAAAGTCCTACTGCAAAGAGGAGTAGAAGTCAAAAGGCCTTGGTTCTAATTCATTAACTACGAGAAAAGAGTGGTAGATGCATGACCAAAGGCTGGGGTTCCTTTCTGACTCCATTCTTACCAGTTATAGTCTTGGCTAAGTTACTTCACTTTTGACTGTGCCCTCATTTGTAATAGAGACAGTTAGCATTTGTTGAGTAGACTGTGTCAGGCTCTGGGTTACTTTACATCTATACGAGCTCATCTCATTTCAAAATTTAAGACACAGTCTCTCCATTTAACAGATGAGTCTACTGTGGCTCCCGGAGATTAATGAATTTACCACATGTCTTACAGCAGAGAAGATCAGAGCCAAACCAGAGCACATGCCTTCTACCCCCCACTAAACCTAAAACACCAGAACACCTGAGCTCTTGGGGTTTCTTTGAGGATAGCATGAATCAACATAGCCATGTGTTTTCCCAGCCCACAGCAGTAGTGGACAAAGGACAGAAATTGCCGTATTTTCTTGCTTGGTATTTCTCTGAACCGTAGAAAAGCTGTATCTAAACCTATTTTGCTGACATTATATAGGCTAGGGAAGCAACAGTGTTGTTTATCCTATAACCAAGGCCCCATGGCACAGGTCTATTTCAAGGAAACCTGAACATTCAGGGAGCATTTTAATTAAAACATCAACATGCCTCGTGGAGAGGAGCAAACACGACTAAGCTCTGAGAGCAGATTTTTTTTCCTTAGAGATGTTCACCTCTGTAAAGGGGGCAGGAACTAACCCTGGCAAGCAGCAGGGCAGAGCTGTGGACCAGCAGCTCTTTTTAGGGAATGAAGGATGGGAAGAGAAGCACGGCCCCCAAAGGGGTCACTTTAATATTTCATTTGCTCATCCTGAGGCCAGGGGAGAAACCCAGAACCACTCAAATCTACAAGACTTATACATTCCATCTAGCTCACTGCTGCAGATGTGTTTCCACACACCATTCCCATTTCACAGACGAAGAAACTGAGGTTAGAGAAAACAACTCATCCAATTTACATTAGGACAAGTGCCCAAGCCACCTTTCCACTGTGTGCTGTGCCTGGAGCAGCCCACTAGGCAACGTGGGAAAAATGCCACGTGGAGGAAGCGAGCAGTATGTGATATACCTGTCCCTTGTTTTTTATCTCACTGCACTCTTAGATAGGTAATAGTGTGTTCCCTTAGTGCACTCAATTAACTGATCCTCCTGCTGTCAAAAACACCTGCTCAAACTTTAGCATAAGCCACTGTGCAATTACTTGTCTTCATAGAAAATGCCTCTTTCAGGAAAAGCCATTCTTCCTAGAGAACTCCATCCCACAACCATCAATTTGGGAACAAATAGTAAAATTAGACCTTTCGCTTTTCAGTTTTTGGACACAGAGTAAAGTCTACCTTAAGAAGTTACTACAGTTGCCAAATGGACTGTTTTTCTTTACAGGTTGGAAAGAATTCTACTCCCTCCCCTTCTGCCTCCCCAAATTCAAACTGTTGACTGTGTGCCTGGTTTATGATGTTATTAAAAAACAAAGAGGGGTCTCAAAGTTTACAACTAACCCCCAAAGTGGGCAAGTCAGAAGAAAAACTTCATGTAATGTGGTTCATATAACATCAGCAACTTACATGTGGTCCAGAGTAGGCAAGATAAGCTAACTGCCTATCCCCTGGAGCAATTCCTCTGCATAGGTTAGCCATCATGGAAAAGGGACTTTGAAATAAGCCAGGCTAGGCACAGAGCCCAGTCTTTACTAGCTGTAGGCTCCGAGCACATCATTTAACCTCTTTGAGCTTTATATTTTTTCAATCTGCATAATTTCACATTTAATTTTTTTGTCAGTACTGGAGTTTGAACTCAGCGCCTCACGCTTACTAGCTAGGCATTCTTACCACTTGAGCCACTCTGCCAGACCTTGTGGTTTGTTTGTGGTACTGGGGTTTAAACTCAAGTCCTCATGCTTGCTAGAGGCAAGTGCTCTACCATTTGAGCTATCCCTCAAGTCCTTTTTACTTTTAAGTATTTTTCAGAAAGAGTCTCACACTTTTTGTCCAGACCAGCCTGGGATAGCGATCTTTCTACCTGTGTATTCATATAGCACACTACCACACCCAGGTTGTTCTTTGAGATAGGTTCTCATTAATATTTTGCCTAGGCTGACCACTAGCCACAGCCCTCCTATTCTATCTCCCAAGCAGATAAGAGTACAGGCATGAGCCACTGTACCCAGCCACATTTAGTGTTCTTAGTATTAAGTACCTTTCTCCAAGGCTTTTTAATGCAGGCTAAAGATAAGTTTCCAGGCTATGCTCCACAGAAAAGTAATTCAAGGATCTACAAAGGAGAATTTATAGTCCTGGTGACATGTTGCCTATCCCTTTCACCTACACAGCAGGGGTTCAAGGCGCAGAGAACAAACTTTGAAATCACTGGAGGAATGGAATGGATAGTTGTGAAAATGCAGGACTCACAAATTACAAGGCTGGTTTTCAATTATCCTCTGCCTCTCTTGTCCCAAATGGACACACTAAGAGAGAGTGGTGACCTTCCACACAGGACCCAGGTAAGTCACACCCAAATTCCTTTGGGGCTGCCACTGCTCAAAATAGTTCTGAACCTTATCAAAGTCCATGGCATATTTTTGTAATGTCTACAATGAAGGCTGCACCCTTTAAAGAAGCTCTGGACAGGTAAGTCTGGACTTTACACCTGCACACGAGTGACCAGCTCAGCCAGGAAAAGTTTCAAAGTACTTCAATATTCCTCATCTCTTTGACATCTTATTACAATATTATCAAGCAAAATCATCATCCTTGGCTTTTTAAAGGCTTTTAGTGGCAGGCCAGGTCTAGAACCTATTTCTTCAGATTCTAAGTCTTATTTATCTTGGCATAATAGCCTCTGGGCAGGAAAACAAACAATATGCCAGAGAATACCAGTGGTCTTATCACTGCTGTTTCAGCTCAGTGAGGGCGTGGAGAGAACACAGAAAATGACTGCTGGACCACTCTTCTGGGCTCAACTTGAGCGTAGTGGCTCAGAGCTCAGACCCTGTAAGAGACAAGTCAAATCTCTGACTTGTTAACTAAGTGCTCTTGGACAAATTAGTCTTACTCTATGCACCTTGGTTTCTTAAATTATAGAAAGTAAGAACAATATTTAGACTTCATTGGATTATTATTAGGATAATGTATGCAAAATAGTTTAGGAGGGTACTTAGCACTTGTGTATTTCAAGTAAATGTTGGATTTTAGTAACAGTATTGAATGAAATTCTTCTTGCTAGAAGACTTGGGTGGCTTTGTTGGCTTCTACTTGGAGGTGGCCTCTATTGGCTTGGTACACATGTCTGTTGGCTCAGATATTCTATAATATTAGAATACAGGAGGCAGTTGGGTAGGATCAGCATGGCAAAGTTTGGACACTTACCGCCAGGATGGCAATGACGATCCCCACTGCACAGAGAACAGCATCGTTGATTGTTTCACTGATTTTCAGGGGGTACTTGATGCTCTCATCATTGCAGTAAAACCCTCGGCGGTAAGGCTTAATGGTGCTCGTCTCAATGATGAGGAAGGGCAGTGCCGCTGGAACCATGCATGTATGGGGGGAAAAGGAAAGAGGAAAACATCAATGCAAGGAAGTCAAAGAGGAACAACCTACAGTGAAGACCACCCCAAATAACACTGGTGATAATACTAATTCCTCCCATTTGTAGCAATGGAGCATGTTTCACTACATGCGTCCCCTTTCCTCCTTTCATCGGCCCTATGAAGAGATAGGTATCATACACTTTTCTTGCCAAGGAGCTCAGAGGAAGATAATAGACAAGCCAGGACAAGGGTTTTCCATGATTCTACAATGTTCTGCTAAAAATTAAGAGCCCAGTTTGTAAACAGCCCAGAAGCTAATGATGTCCCATTAAGCCTGCAAGAATATTCATTTCTTGGGCCCTTTGAGAAGTTAATCCTAAGGCCACAGTGCATGAAGTTGAATTCCAGATCTATCACTACCTAGTAGCACGACCTCTAGTTCTCAGTTCATCTCCATGAACCTCAGTTTTCCCCCCAATAAAAGGAGTTGTAGCAATGAGTAAAGGAAATAATGCACATAGACCTTTGACACAGTACATGGTTACTTGATGAATACCATTTTCAAGCCTTTTATTTCACTGTTCAGAGCCATGGACAAGACTGAGCAGAGTTGAGCTCAGCCCCATGACCTGCAGACCTGGAGAGGAGCCCATGGGCACTGGAACACCAGGCAGCCCATGCAGCTGCTGGTTATCAGTGGCCAACTCAGATGCCATTCTCTCAAAGGTCATGACTAATAGATTCCATCACCTGCCCAGAAGTCCCTCAAAACCCCAAAGCAAAAAATAACACGCACAGTAATTGTTATCAGAATAGATTCCCTCTAGGTTTCCTGGCCCCCACTGCCTACTACATATATCTACCAGCTTACTTCCTGATGAGTATGTCACAGTCTTGCTAAAGTGACTTTAGTGGGTCCCCATTACACAGGGTAAGTTAAGGCCTCCAAGCCTGATTTCAGGAATTCTCATGACCTGAACCTCTCTTCTCCAGCTTCCTGGTCTTCTCACTGCCTTGGCTCATGCTATTCCCCTAACCTGAAATACTTCTTGTTCTCCTCCTACTCGAGTTCAGTAACAGGCTTCAGTACCACCCTACAAAATGAGAGGGCTACTAGGGCTTTTACTGAGTCTTAAAACTAGAGAGCAAAATGGCACCTTGTAGTAGCCGCCATGGATGGGGCACCTATAATGTGTTAGCCATTTTATCCTTGTTTTTTGACTTGACTCTTTCAATTATCCTGAGAGGTCATTTTAAAGCATCATTCGAGCATTACTCTCTCCCATCTTCAATAGAAAAGAACAGAGACTCAGAATCTTTAGCTCATTTAGGGTCTCTTAATCCTCCCCCAAAATGCCTAAATTCCTAATATAACTTTGCAAATTGGTTTCATCCAAATGTGAAATTCATTAACTGAAAAATCCCAGATAAGTGGTTGCTTAAAAGATAAAACTCTATTTTCATATTTTTAAAGAAGAATTAAATTCATGTCACAATGCTCAAAGCCCCAGACTACCTCTAAAAAAACCGTACCATGAACTCCACAATTTTTCAATTACTTTGGTCCAGACCGGCAGCGATAAAAATGCTCACTTTCTAAAAAGTGTATTTATGTATCACTGTGCATACGCACATGGATTTATTTGGTTTTATTCTTTGGATTTATTTGAATTCTACGGCTATTTATTTTGTGACCCCTAACTGCTTCCTGCTAGAACAACAATTTACTTTATCAAATTCATACTGGTGCTTTGAAAAGAAAGAACAGCAACACACCACACTATTGTGCCTGACCTTCTCAAAGTAAACACAGAGGGGCCCTGAAAGGCAATAACCATTAGCTTTTGAAACTCCGCCTGTGCAGTGGAGTAGAGGGGGCAGGGGAGACAGTGAATCAATGTTTTGGCTTAGAAGTGACAGAAGTCCGCTGATCTTTTTGGGTCGGGGGCCTGGGAGAGGTATCATATGGGCCCAAATATTCCTTTCATAGCATAAACATTTTGAAATGTGACCAAGTTGGCTATGAAAAGTAGCTGAGAAGCCAGCAGTATGATATTAATAGTCTGCTTTAAAGTTCCACACATCGTGATTAAAAAATGTTTAGCTCTGAATCGTAGCCGGGCTACAGCCTCTGAGGTGCCTGGGAGCCAAAGCGTTGCTAATAAACTCAGAAGGGGAATGGACTCCGGGTGCCTTACATTTGTGCTACACTCTTAGGCCTCCAGCTTCTATATTTAATAGTGTTCACATGATAGGCCTGTAAAACATATGTTTCTAAGGACAATAAAACACGTATAAAAGAGCTTTAGAGTTAGAACGTGGTTAATGATCTTGGTTCTGTGCTCCCTCCTACTGGAGCAAGTTACTTCACATCTCTAAAATTCCCTTTCTAATCTGTTCAATGGGAAGAATTGTTGGTATGATATAAGAGATTAGTATGTTCATTCATGCATTCGTTTTTTGATAAATATTTATGACTCTTAACTACGCTTGCTGAGTACAGGAATACAAAGATGACCCACTCAGACCCTGCCTGCCCTCGGGGAGCTTAGAATCCAGTTAGAGAAGACTCACGCAGTCAATTGGTCCAAGAAACACTAGTTGGAAGAAATCCAAGGCAACAACACTGGGTAATGTCAGCACAGAGTCCATGATACACTGTGGACTGTCGAAAAATGTTAAATGGGAGGAAAAAAAATGCCCCACAAAGATGGCTAGGAAAGATTTTGTCCAGTTAGTTCCTTTGCCCTTTCAAAACTGGTAACCATCCAAATCCTTTTTCTTCTTTCTTTGCCTATGGCTTGGGAAGTTTCCGGTTCTGATTATGTCGATGATGACCACAAACAGACAAGAAATTGAATCTGAATATATTCTGTTTATTTTCTTAAAAGGCATGGAGATAGCATTTAGAAAACCCAATGGCTTTTTCTGTCTGCCCTACAAATGGTATTACCATTTGGTGGTGATGCCAGTCAAACCCTGGCTTTGCTCCAGAAAGAGACTACCCTCAGATTCCCCTCAAATGGAAAACACAAAACATTCCCAACTGGGCAGCTAGTCCTCAAGAGACCACAGACCATGCTTTTCCTCTGCAGGGCACAAAGAAGGGGGTAACCTTTTTCCAAAGCAGGATCTCCATTTCCAACACGGCACCATCTTAGTCTCTTATCCTTTTGTCTCAAGAAAATTCCCGGCAGTAAACCACAAAATGCTGGAGGTAAATACATCAGAGCACCTGCCTTGCAGAAGTCTGTGGTATCATAAGAAAGCCACAGCCAGCAGAGCACTAAAACATCACTAGTGTAATTGACGTTGTGTAGGGGATAGTGAGAGCACAAGCCCACTCTACCAGGGACACTCCAGGTGTCCCACAGGGTATGGGAGGCTTGAGTAGATACAGTATGTAAAGTTTCAGACAGAGTCCTTATAGCTGCCCGATTGGAGCAGTTATGCTATACCAGAGGCTCATACGTGTATTCTGCATCTTGTAGAACTAGAATTCCTAGTTAGGAATTAATTTAAGAGATTAAAGTGACTTACCAGAGTCACTTTGCAAGTAGGGAGCTGGATAGGGTTCAAATAACCTGACTCTTAATCTCAAGTGTTTTCTAAGGCGAGTCACAAAGAGAGAAGGAAGTACCTGTGAGTATTAATAAATGTTTTGAAGCTCAGTAACTCTCAGGACCTCTATAGGAAAAAAAATCCTTTGGAACAGTTAAGGTAATAGCACTAGATAATGTTCACTGAGCTTTTACCATGTACCACACATGTGCTAGTTAGATACACACGTATATATAATTTAATCAAAACTGAAGCCAATATCCTGGAATTTGATTGATTGATAATAAAATGTGCATTACGAGCCTTTTGCAAAGCAGGGTTAAGGAGAATAATCTAGTGATTCTAGACTCAGACTCAAGCATTTCTTCTCCTTTTAATCAACGATCAATTAACTTCCTATACCTCTAGGGACTTCTTGGGATGTGTAGGCCGCAGAGGAGGTGAAATATGAACTCAGTGACAAACACTTAATGGGCAGAAAATCAAAGCATGAAGAAAGGCCCCTGTGTTGGACTCAGGCCTTTGAAACTTCCCTGGCTTTGAAAAACTAACACTTCGGCAGGTTGGGTGGTTTGGGGGTGGGGTATAAAAAAACACAGGATAAGTTTTCGTGGCCCACCCATTGATCAAGTCATGTGGGAAATGTTTCCAGAGTGACCCGGCCCCAGAGCCTGCTCCCTGCAGCCAGGGCTTCATATTTGCACAAAATTAAACACAGCCTCTTCTCTCAAAGTGCTTTTTAGACAGCCCTTGAGGAGGTAAGGAGTGTGAGGGTGAAGGAGAAATGACTACACTTTTCAAATGACCAAAAATTAGAGCATCACATAGGGGGGCATACCATCTTTCCTGTACACCAAGTCATTCCGGTGCCTTTTTAAAGAGTGGTCCAATTTTCCACTTAAACCAATCTGTAGTTATCTTAAAATAAGAACAGTCTAAGATCTGTAAGAGTGATAATTAAGCCACCATCTGCAGAAAGCCTACATACCTCCCACAAAATAATACAGGATGCAGAATACACGTAGGCCTCCAGTATAGTGTAACTGCTCCAATCAGGCAGCCATAGGACTGTGTGCCTGAAACTTTGCACATCTTATCCTCAGTACAGTTATGAGTAGGTATTCTTCTACCCATTTTACAAGTGAAGAAACTAAGGATCAGAAAAGTCAAGCAGCTCACCTATAAAAAGTGCAGAACTAGTAAAATGTCACTGATTTGGACCAGATATCAGAAATATAACTAGGAGATACTGGATTCTACTTTTGAAGGATTTAGATCTAGTTAGGATTAATTTTTCTAATCTCCACAATAACTATAAGAAGTGGTCGGTCATTATTTTCATTGTACCCAAAGAAAACAGAGACCAGAGATTTATAACTTAAATGGGTCATGGGATTTGAACCCAGGTCTGTCTTCTTTTAGTGCGTGTTTTC